CAGCAATAGACGTAGAACGTACCCGTGGAACTCAGAGAGTATAGATTCACGATGGGAAGAGCAATGCCGTATCAACTTTGATACTAGGAACTTTGGAGAACCTTTATGCTCGATAAGTGCGCGGTTGGAGGGAACGGCGTACCTTGGAATATTTGCCTTGAGAAAGTTGTTTGAAATGGCCCTTGAGCTCGGAGGCAATTTGATCCCGCTCCTTTCGACCGCCGTACTTGACGATCGTCTGGATGATCCTGCTCGCGTCATGCTTCAATACAATGTCTTTTACTTTTCCCTCCACAATCCCCATCAAGTTACGAACGTGCTGTTGGCGTTCAGCAGGGGGTATATTTTTCTGGCGCGCAAGAGACCAAACGCGTTTTGCATCTACGAGGAGTTGAGAGTGTGGTTTGGCAGCTTTTCGTTGTTCGTATAATGCACGCTGTACTTTGTGTGATTCCCTAGTAGCTGTGACACCAATGTCAGATCGACGATACCTCGGCTCAGAAACAAATCACTTGTTAGAGTACCGTTTGAGTCTTTTTGACCAGCAGCGTCCACTGACATTTCGGCCGGCTGACTTCCCGCATCCGCACCCTCGTCTTCTAATTCAGCAACGTCTTCGAGTTGATCTTCATCACCCTCATCCGAACTCTCACCATCGGACTCTCGTACGGGAAGTGTGACAGGCTGCTTGCGTCTTTTCACGACTTCTTCGCGAGCAATCGTCGGGGTGACCCTGACTTTTTTGGCTGTCGGGCCTGCCTGTGAGGCAGATGGCCTTTTTTTCGTACTTCTTTGAACGGTAGTCATGACCTGATGGTGTGCCGTCCGACGGACTTGCGAAGTGGACCGCTTGCAGTTCTTCCTTGCTGAGTATGTAATCTTTACACTAGTCACCCACATACAGAATCACGTTCCCACCCCTCTCCCGTCATTCCATTACCACTACTCACGCCATCGTACTCCAGTACTTGTGAATACCATTCTCCAGGTAAATTACCTTGCTTGGCAAGGTTTCTCCAGCACCATAATTCCCGTGGGAACCGTCGGACGACTGAAATATTTTCCTTTTCTGGCACGGTTGTTGCCGCGCACCTTAAACGTACTCCAAAGCTGTAGATACACGAAACACGCATGGTACGGCGTGATGCCCAGCCGAACTGACACGGCCACTAAATCGCGAGCTCGAGCTAATCGAAGAGACCCAGGTCAACCATATCATCAAGCATAGGCTCCCAGGGCCAATCACCCGTCTTCCACCCTCGGTGCTCTCAGACATTATTTATCGCACCTGACAGCCTGGGCGGAGGTATGGGCAGGGCACGCAAGGGTAGTGGTGAGTAATTGTTTTCTTACCTATGTCAATTGGGACGGGGTGCTGATACGGTTTGATAGCCTGGCTAAGCATACACCAGGTTGCGGAGGCACTAGGGGAGCGTGGACACTCGCTATCAAGCGCCGCCACCATGCCATCTGGGGCTTCTCAAGTCGATATGGATAGGGTCGCACATCAACTCGCGTGTTCGGGCCATGGCACATTCATTACCGCGCCGCATCCAGGCCTCGATCTTCCGCCGCTCACCGCAGCCTTAGGCGAGCGGTATGGCTACGCCCCGCTAGAGAGGACGGATCGGATGATTGTAGGTGTGAAAAGAGGGATTGATGAGATGTTGGCTGCCTCTCAGCCGCAACAATCGCCGTCTCAAGCATCACAACAAGCTCAACCGTTGACATCCTCTCCGCAACCCGTCTGGACCCTTTGCTACCCTCATCATTGACAGCATCCAATACATGATGTTTCCCGCCATGAAATGTGTTGAGATTCCGGAAACACAGATCTCGGACTGTCCACTTTTCCTCACTTCTCGTTACACTTGCGCTCTCGGGTGCATGCCACTCTCAAGAGGAAATTCTATCGACCAAATACCAAATATTGCCAGTCTCCGATCCGTCTGTGTGCACTTGGCAGATGATATGTCGGAATCATTACTGTTATCATCTTTGCTCCCGCTCCAGCAACTATCCGTACTTGTAGACTTTCTGGAACTGGTAGTGAATGACCGGAAGCTGAGAGCATTCACTTACCTGCTCTCACATCTCTAACGCTTGTGCTCTCTAATCTGTGACCGGCACTGGCAGCTATAATGACTCCCAGTCTCATTTATCTGGGATGTTCACGAGGTGCATTGAATACACGGTTCGTGCATGCCCGCAGCGGATACTGGGCACATGTTTTCCAGGACTTTACTAACAAATTCGTAACTGTTCAACATCTTCGTCTTTTGGATACGACCAACTCCTCCTCCTTTATACCTGTCGGAGACGTGGTGGATGCACAGGTGGTATGTATGGCATGTCCTGGGGTATGTCATGCAGAGCTACCCGCTGATGTGACCAGTAGCTTCTTTGCCAAAGACGACACTCCTGCTGACCACAGGAAAGACCTTATGCAGTTGACCATCAAAGGTCTGATGGTCGGACAAATCCCTCATAGTCTCATGCGCTGGCTCATCAAATGACAATCCAACCAAAACTCTCTGTTCAAAGTTATGTTCTGTGAGTTACATAAATGTGGCGAGGAGTCCGGGCACCGCTAGCGGTTGTTGACTGGCTTCTCTGAACAAGTTGTTGTATGGCCATTGTGGATTAGTGCTGAAGGAGGTTCCGCAGAAGGCTACTTTGAATATGAGCCTCACTGGTGGTACGTGTTCATATGGTTGCGCGAACTGGACATTCATATCTTTATGAGCAGGACACACGAAGACGTTGTAAATGAGGAGTTTCGAATCCCACTGGAGGTTTATTCATAGTCATTCATAGTCATTACCACCTCCGAAATATGATCACACGCGACACAATACGTATCCCGTCATCTGGACATGGAGGATAGTTGTTTGATTAAAAGGGTGAGGATGTAAATGATGCATGTTGGGACAGTAGTTGGCCCGTAGTGTAACAGTTCTTGACTTTACATTGTACATGTGTTTGATTGCACTGCCCTTCTGGGCCAAGCAAGGTTTCCGCCGCAGCCTGCGGCACTTCCCCGAGTTGTAAACAAAAATGATATATTCTCCACGAAAGCGTCTTTCATCCGGCTAACTCCTCCTAACACTCACTTCTCCTTGTAGAATACAAGAGCTCTCAATTCAATAGACTCTCTGAACGGTGCGTCCTTTGGAGTCTTCGGATCCTCGAAGCCCGTGTGGGGCACCAAAGTAGCAACACTACCGTCTTGGATGGAATCGAAGCTAAGTCCACATCAGTGAAGTGCAAGTAGTACTGAGTTGAACATTGGCTGACCATTTAAGCAAGACGAAGTCCTCCGGATCCATAGCACTCTTGTACATCCATCTATGATTGGGGTTGTATTTGATACCATATACCTCGCCCTCTCTGTCGGGGAACTTCAGTGTGATTGGTACGAGATCTGTGTTTGTGTCAAGGCTGCGGAAGTCACAAACTGCAAGGGGCCAGTCGACCGCCGGGTGAGAGATTGGGCGCCACAAATTAATAATCTGGAAACGACAGCGAAGAAGAGCAGGTACATCGCTGGCGGGAAGGTGCCTGTGGACGCGGGCAATGGAGGCTGCCATAGTCTGATCGGCATGGACCTGAGTGACAGGTTGGCGGTTCTTCGGGTCAGCACCATTCTCTCCGGGATGTCTGCGGCGAAGAGCTAATAAGAAGTCAGAAGTGACCTTAGAAGCGAAGAAGTCGGCCCACTGTGATCAAAAATAACAACTCTGGTAGCGCCAGTAAACTTCTTGATGAGCTCGACACTCTCCGGGTAATATTCTTCTTTGATCTCTTCTTCGTCTGTGAAACTGGTGTGCTTGGCGGGGTGGCGAGAGTACTGGAATCCAGCGACATCGAGACTATAATCACCCTCCTTCCCACGGATATCTTCGATCTCGACAATACGGGGTTCTTCCCGCCAGTTCCGTGGCCGTACTGAGCCGGGGTAGAGTTGGGTGAAGGCCCGAGAACCATCGACAGGGGGTATTGTATAGTTCAGCTTAGCCGCACTGGACATGATGTATGCGAGGGGAGTTAGACTGAGGAGACGTAACTGACAGCCCGACGTCTTTTATACCACAGGAAATGATGGATGTGAAAAGGACGCTTCACCAGACGAATGACAAAGGCTTGTTGATCAACTCCTTGCTGCTGAGAAGGGATCACCTCTACAACCCGGTTATTCAAGGCAGATAGCTCTGCTTAAAGTTCCCCCTACAGCTCAGACTCAGACACCGTAACACGGGATGGAATGATCATGGCGTGGCTCGTCGCCATACGTTGCTATACCAAACGTCAGCAATATTACACCACATCAGACTTGTAAAACTGGCATCGCACCTCCCAAAGCATCTCATATGAGTCGACGCCCAGTTGAGCCGGAGCCACACAGAGGTGCACATTGGGTATTTGGCTGACTCACGGTTTTGATGAAACGCTATGACTAGTATGAAGGCCGAGCGCTGAGCGCCGAGTCGTGAGGGGGACTGCCTAATCGGCGGTGCAGGATTTTAATAGGTGCAACTTGAAGTCAGTGGTGCTAAATATTTCCTAGAATTGCTCATTAGCCCCCGTTAGTGAGGGGGACCGTACAAAGAATGACCAGCGACCATTCTTTGGAGAAGGTGGTATACACTCGAGCTGAAGTCGGAATTTACTCGCCTTTTGTGTGAGTGGCTAAACTCGCTCGAAGCAGACTCCAGCAACCCTCATGGAAGGTGTCATCGATGGCCATCCCAAGGAGTCGATCATTCATGGGGGCCTTGGATCAGTCGGTGTCTCCCCACACACGAGTTTTCCACGAAGCATCCGAACGGGAGTGCCGGGCAGTCTGCTTGAGCAAAAGTGACGAAGTGGTTCTGTGGAACTGCAAACCAACTTCGGATCTACTCTCCATCTTTCTAGATATGCTGAGACGGCGAAAGCCCAGACACGACAAGTAGTGACCTGACCCCTGAGTAATGCGACCCAAAAGAAAAAGCTGGTGATGACAAGAGTGGGATTTGAACCCACGCCCTCTTACGAGGATGAGAAGACCTGAAGAATTCAGGCAAGCTTCCGCTTGAGTCACACGCCATAGACCGCTCGGCCATCTTGCCAGCACAACTGGACTTCGGTCTGGCAGGCCATATACATCACGAGGGGAAGGGGTTCGCCAAAAGGAGAGGTGTCTGTAGGAACTAACGACTGCGGCTGCGGTACGAACGTAACTCGCTTGCTCTTATCTCCCCAGTTTTTCGTAAGGTGAGGGGGAAGATATTCAGCTATTATATTAGTCGTTCCGTGCACCGTTATTCCTAGCCAGGATGGCGTCGTACAGGTAACCTCCTGCTCCAATCTGCCCGCCCTTAGGTTCTCCCACCGGACATGGTTTTTACACTTTTCTTCCCGCGTCATAGACGGCGTCAATCGTAGTAGGCAAGTGTCTACTTCTATGCTCTCATGCAGTGTCAACCTGTAGGACCCATTGAGTGACCGTGGATAGTGCTTTGTCACAGGTACTCCACATCGCTGGGAGCTTTACACACATTGCATACACACGTTCACACAGATGACGACTTAGAATCCTGTCTTGTTCGCAGTTTCACAGGTTCGTAAGGTTAACCATCTGTCTTCAGACTCCGCTGCCGCTGAAACACGTTGCTTATTAGAGCCACGAGCTTACTGTGTCTTACAGGGCTGACTCGGGTTCTAGCAGTTACAGTATAGTAAGGGAGAGCGAGGGATTCCCGAGGACAGATTTAAGAGGCTGTCGAAAACCGTCCCACCAGACGCGCCCTGAGCTGTTATCTCTCTGTTCTCGAAGCAATCCTCAGCAATGGCGCCGTCCGGGGAGGCCCAGCTTGAAGCACTCTTGGAAATAATCAATTCGTCGGCACGCCAGGCAATATCTGAGTATAAGAAACACGGCAACGACGTTCCGACCATCCACTCAACAGAATTTCACCCGCTCGATTTTGCCACGGACACTGTGGCCCTCAAGAAGGCCGTTCGTCTCTTGGAAGGCGCATGCCAACAGCTCTGTGCATCTTTGGCTCCGCCACAACATACTGTTATCAACGTAAGTAGTGAATGTGCAACGGTGCGCCAACATATCACTCAATTATTCACTCGTAGTTTGCTCAATGTTATGACTGGGCTTGTACTGGTGCCGCTATACGTAAAGGAATTGCGGATGTTCTGGAGAAGTATCCCTCGGGTTTGCATGTCAGGGATTTGTCCCGGATCGTTGGCCTAGAGAAAGCTAAACTAGCACGGATTCTCCGCGTCCTTGCATCCAAGGGGTGCTTTTCAGAAGGTAATCATGATCCATTTTGCTGCGGTACCGTCGTTCATTGGCTATTCATCCGTCCAGTTGATACGGATACGTTCGCCAATAACCGCCTCTCACTTATTATGAAGAGCTCGAACGATTGCAGTTGTCTTACCGCTATACATGCTCAGGATGTATCTCGGGGAGCGGGTGCCCTGTACGAAACCTTAACAGATCCGGAGTATGCAACGTCATACGAGCCCGATAAGGCGCCCATGATCTACGTCCTAAAACAAAAGGGTTTGAAGGGAAGTTTCTTTGACTGGATGAAAGCAGATGTATGTCACAGTTGATGCTATGGAGGTACCTGCTCACTCCAGCTGTCAGGCAAAAAGACGGGAGGTACTCAACAACTTCTCCCTGCTTTGAATTACCAATGATGTGCTGCCCAGGATTACCACCGCGCTATGATTGCTCTTGGGCCCGTCATGGGCTCCCTGTCAATTCTCCACCGTGAGTAGCGGAAGTTCCATACAAGTACGGTATCTTCTCATCAGCTCGCAGATTACCCTTGGAGTGAAGTTGCTACCGTCTGTGACGTTGGCGCTAGTATCGGCTCTGTTTCTATCCCTCTCTCGAAAGCCCATCCTCACCTTAAAATTACTGATCAAGATCTACCCGAAGTTTTGGAAGCAGCGAGAGACTGTTCGTAACCTCATTCAGCATGCAAACCGAGGTTTCACCTCTCATATCAATTGTCTTGTGGCTGCAGATCTGGCAAAAGGAAGCTCCCGAGGCCCTTCAAGAGCAACGAGTCGAGTTTGTCACTCTCAACTTCTTCGAAGAAGCTCCAGTAGCAGGCAAAGATGTTTACTATGTATGATCGATATTTACTTCAAAGTGCGTGAGATGCTGACTTCCGTGATTGAAGCTTCGAAACATCATTCACGACTGGCCCGATGCTGAAGCTGCAGTTATCCTTCGTAACATCAGTAAAGCTATGGGATCTCAAAGCCGTCTTCTCATTCGTACGTTGTTTCTAGCCTTAATAGCGACTAACAATCTTGACTCAGTACACCTTGCAACAGACGACTATGTTATCACGGGTGCGACTCGTCGTCCGGATGAACAGCACTTCGAAATAGATATTGTCGGTCATCTCTCAGAGTTTGCTGTTGTCTGCTGAGCCGATCACATCGTTTAGGCTCCGGAACCAATGCTACCGAACTTCGGGGCAGGCAATAGTCGCAAGTACCAGCAAGATCTGAACATGTGGATCCTCCATAATGCCAAAGAGCGGTCAGTTGATGATCAAATCGCACTGGCGTAAGGGAACTATCGCTTGTCATTTGACCTACGTAATTCTTAATTTCTTAGTTCTGCTGCCGGGTTGAGGCTGGCGAAGGTATACGACCTTGCTGAGACTGCGGTGCTGGAATTTAAGCTGGCGTAGACTTTGGAATGCGGCATGAGTAACTAGGAATCTTGTATCGATGGTGTACTCCGCGATTTTGGATTAGCCAGTGCAATACCGAACGCCTGCCGTCACGAGAGACGGAACCCTCAACGGGTAGGGCACCTCCGCAGCGAGACATGGCAAGTTATGTGCAGGGATTTATTATCTCTGAGCCTGAGTGTCGTCAAAGCGGGTAAGGGAGATGCAGTTGAGGAATTGGTGGAACACCTTCAGCCTTACTGCCAATCCGTAGCAGAGAGGGATGCAATATTATACCGAATAGCCGCATTACTTTGCCCGTACTCTACAGTGGTTTGACTTCAAAAACTGTCCCCATCGCGCTCATGCCCTCGTAGAGTCGACAGCCCTGGCTCCCCCTGGCTGAATATTTCCACCTAACCCAAATACATTGCTAAAGGAAGCGCGAAGTGCGTCATATGCCGCTTGATGAGGAGCGGGTTGGATCGAATTGATTGTGTGAAGGTTTATTAGGCCAGTAAGCGGCGAAAAGGAATACGTCGAATCTCTGCAAGTTTGGTCATAATCATAGTGATACGGATGTTCGCAAAACATCAACGCACATTTGCCATTCACCCAGCCCACCGCTGACACGCGCCGTGCCGAGAACCGTAAGTCCTATAAACAGATTCTTTTCTCGGGTGCTGCGCGAGTGTCCAACTTCATTGCCTTTAAGGGTACGCGGAGGTGACTGTACAACTACTTTGCGAAGGTCGACTCGCAGGTCCGAGTACAGAGTTTTCATTGTATGCTTCATGAAAACAGAAGATGCCAGGTAGAGAGGAAGGCCTGTTTGATAACTCAAGACCCACAGCGAAAAGAAAAACCATTATCGCGTAGCTTACCTTCTATCGACAAAATCCTGGGGAAGGGCGAAGGAAGGGCAACGGGAGGAGTGTACGTCAGCCGTATTTTTGGGCTGTAAATGTTCTCTATTTCTGTTTGTTCTGACGGAACATTGTAAACTAAGTCTGGTCCCCGCGTGGGATCGACGTTCGACACCAGACCGATTCGGAAGAACTCAGGGAGTGTTTGTTGCAGGACGTAGATCGCACGGCCTAACGCGCGTCACAGGCAAGTACGCGGCAAGAAGCTACACGTCGTATCTGAAAGAATCCACAGAGACTCTTGACTGTAGCACACCTGTCCGGACCTCCCACTCCTGATCCGAGATCGTCCCAGGGTTATCCCGGTCGACGTTGTCGTCAGACGAAGATGACGATGAACTAGAATGCCGTATTCGTTCCCGACGCAGAGAAGAGCGGGGAGTTCGAGGATGACCGGATAGAAAAACGGGTGTAAAATTAGGGAACCGCCTCATGACCAGCTTGATGGTTGCTGGTCTGCTTGCTCGACGCCAGCGTTTGAGCGCAACAAGGTATCCCGAAATGGAACGGGCACAGCCACAGCTTGATAGAGAGAGACGAATCAGCCACTTCACCCCGGAGACTCCAGTCGTGTAGTTGCGCTCACTTTCACTACTACACCTCCTCTAGGTATCCCTGGACAATCAGATGCTCTATGTCTGCTCTTCTGACCATGAATCTTTGACCCTTCTGAAAGTCGATACTCCCTAGTTCGGTTTGTATGACCCCACAGTCTCTCACGACGCGGACAAGAACATGCAAGTCCTTGGGTGGGTGGGTAATGCTGGCAGTTATATCCAGCTCGTTGGAAAACTCCGCGCGATAATCCATGACAGATGAACTGTACTGGCGAAGGAAATCTACTTCATGTGGTGAGAGTTTGCTCCGGATATCCTGGTTGCTGAGGATGTGTGGAAGCGCGCCACCAGCAGCCCAGTACATATCGCGCAACCTATCCATGCGGTGTTTGTGGTACGCCAGCAGGCATCGTTTATTTCGTATGATGGCGGTCTGGTAGATCAAGAGGGCAGGACTGACTTCGTCTGCACCCTCCGTCAACTTCTCGAGATCGCGCTGCTCCCTGATGACGGATCGAACGAGGTTGTCGTTGTACTTTAGGAGTGTATCAGCGAGCGTTGATCGACGCGATTCGAGGATAAGTTGGGTCGCGAGATCTCCAAACTGACGCGTGTCTGTCATGGTCCCAGTAACTTTCAGAACGTGACATGTTATCGCACCGTGATGCTGCTGTGATGTCACGCGTCACACATGTGCCCTTATGTGATTTAATTGACAGCTTGTGCCAACTGTAAGTTATGGCGTCCCAAGACATCGAAAGTGCAACTACGGCTCTACAGTACGCGAGTCACTTCTGAATCAGACGCTGCCGATTATTTACACTTCGGAAAGGGCACAACCTGATAACAAGGCTCGCAGATATGACCGCCAGCTGCGGTGAGCCGTTTTACATATTGTAGTTCTCCTGTCCTGAGAAGCTGTCGTCAT